GTCAGTCAGTCAGTCAGTCAATTGGAATGTCCTGGCTAGCCAGCCAGAGCTGAGCTGAAAGTCATCAAGCAATGATGGCAATGGCAATGATGATAGTGTAAACAAAAAGACCAACTCTCTAAAAATATATCTGTTGAAGGAGAGAGAAAGAAAAAGTACTGTTTGATCAGGCAGTCGGCTGATTGTCACCCACACACACAAAAACACACAAAGACACACACTACCAATTTACTAGGAAGAAGACTGACTAGCTAGCTAACAGTTTGAGATAACACCGAAAGCACAATTGCACTTGCTAACACTGATTTCGGCTGATTGAGGCTCTTTATTGAGGCATTACTCTACTCACCCGTGTTGGATTGATGGCAAACTGACTGACTGACTGAAATGACTGAAATGACTGTAATGACAGTGACACTGATAAAGAGAGAACGAGAGCCAAAAATTGGTTTTATATTATTGTTCTTTTGTTTTGGTAGGTAGTTAGTTAGCTAGCAGCTGGTGATTGTTCAGGCAGCGTTTACTGCTGCTGCTGCTGCTGCCTGAATTAGTTTCGGTTTGCTGGTGGTAAGGTATCCATCTAATATACTTTGTCAGTACTCAGTACTTAGTACTCGGTAACATCGTTCTAAAAAATACTCAAAATTTGTGCTTTTTTTCTGATCACAACAATCCTCCATCACTTTTATCACTTCCTAATCAACATCAATTTGATTGTATTTAAATTTTTTGTTATTGCCAATCAAAAACGGCATTTAAATTGACATGAAATCACAGCGCATCCTTTATTTATTTACTACTTATACTGACGTCAACACTTTTAAATCAACTTGACCGGAGTTTAAGAAGTTTAGGTGAAGAAAGCTAAGCCTAATAAGCGGTTCAAGCTTCCATAAATCATCATCATCATTGTCATCATTTTTTATCATCATTAAAATCATCACTTTCATCATGTCCTCACCATTGGAAAAAGTGTTCGGCCTGTGGGACTACGTGGTCTTCATTGCACTGCTCGTCAGCAGCACCTTCATCGGCATCTACTTTGCCTGGGCAGGTCGACATGCCAAAAGTTCAGAGCACTTCTTCACCGGCGGGCGGAAGTTGGCCGTCTTTCCCGTCACCATGTCCCTCATTGCCAGCTTCATGTCCACCAATACGTTGTTGGGCGTGCCGGCAGAGGTGTTTCAAATTGGGACGCAGTTTGCCCTGCAGACGATCTCCATTTGCCTGGTCATAGTGGTCACGGCGGAGGTCTTCATGCCTGTCTACTTCAACCTGGGCATTACCAGTGTGAATGAGGTAATATAGAACAAATGACTTTCGGTATAAAAACTTTAGTGATAACCTCTTTCTTTTATTTTGTTCTTTTGTTTTCTCATATAGTACCTTCAACGACGTTTCAACTCGGATCGGGTGAAGACGGCTGGAGCCGTTGGCTTCCTCCTCGCCACAATGCCCTACATGGCCGTGGTTCTCTACGGGCCGGCCATTGCGCTGAGCAGCGTCATTCGCATCTCCATTCCAATGTCCATTCTGGTGGTCGGCGTCATTGTCACCTTCTACACTTCCATTGTAAGATAGAAACTTGGAAACTGTTATTATTTTAATCATCTTTTTTAAACATTTTAACTAGGGCGGCATCAAGGCGGTAATCTGGACCGACGTCCTCCAGTGCATGCTCATGTTCATTGGCGTGCTTTTGGTAGTAGTCGAAGGACTGATCGACCTGGGCGGCTTCTCCAACATTGTCCGCATTAATCAGGAAGGAGGACGACTAAAGATATTCAAGTAAACACTTTTTTGTTTTTAAAATTAAAGTTTTTGATATGGTTAAAGTAATGACACGTTATCTTTCCTTTTTTTCAGCATGAAATTCGACCTGTACAACCANAGGAGGACGACTAAAGATATTCAAGTAAACACTTTTTTGTTTTTAAAATTAAAGTTTTTGATATGGTTAAAGTAATGACACGTTATCTTTCCTTTTTTTCAGCATGAAATTCGACCTGTACAACCACGACAACTTCTGGAACGTCGTCCTGGGAATGTTGG